CCTCATCACCATTCTTCAACGTTAAGGGGTCTTCATTACCCCCACCATCTAATACATACTCTTGATTTAGAGCTAGTATGAAAGACTGGTTCATTATTTTTAACCTGGTGGACAAAAGAATTCATTCTGAACTATTTTTTGATGATAACATAATTATTAATCATGCTTTATGAAAATTAATGATAATTACATAAATGAAGTGAAATTGATGATGATTGCTAGAAATAAAACACTATTTAAAAAGTAAACAACATAATAAATGAACAAATAAATGACTGTGGAAAAGAAGTCAGGATGTGATCCTTCAGTTCTTTGTTTGTTAGACTCATTGGTGATGTAATAGTGCATTCCGATGTGTTTAGAATTTCTTTGCTTTGGGCAAAAAACAAAAGTTTGATCTGGAAATAAATTTAAAAAAATTGATTATCTAAATTCATTTTTATTTATATAGCACATTATTTAGTTTCTTTTAAAAGTTTAGTTATTAAATTTCTTAATTATTTAAAATGATAATGCTGTTTCAATCGCTTCTTATACATTTCTATTGATGATTGTTGATGGATGATGAGTTGTAAACTTTTAAATTAAACTGTTCCATATTGATGGTGAACCAATATGAAAAGCCTTTATTTTATTAGCGAGAGATAATTCAATGTTTATTTATTTAACTAGGCTAAATGTGAACTAGTAGTTTACTCCATTGTCAAAAATGATTCAATAAGTAACTACTTATTATATTATATTAATAATAATGAAAAACTCTTCATGTCAAGTTAATTTATTAATAAATAATGAAACAATAATAAAACATAACATTTATTTAAATAATATTAAATTTGAATTAATTAATTATAATAATGAAGAGAAGATATCAACGTTAACTGTAGAATCCATCTTCTTAATTAACTGCTAAGCTCTCTTTCTTGGCAAGTTATAATATAATTTCAATGCACTTGATGTGTTTGTATAAGTAGCAACATAAATATATTATATTATGATCAAATTTTAAAAATTACTACTTTATTAACAAATTTAATAGTTTTAAAAATTTAAAATTAATAAATTCTCTCTAACTAAGTAAATCAGTTGAGTCTGTATTCAATGAAAGTTTGCTTATTATCAAAAATACTATGTAATAAAATTTATTTAATAAATATTTAAATAATATAATAATCATTAAAATAATTCCATATTCCATATCATATTGTAATCTACTAACAACATACTACAATACAATGCAACTAACCTACAAAACAGAATAATCATACAATAAATGCAAAAATAATAATAATTAATACTTAATTATTAAGTATTAATTAATTAGTTATGTCATTAATTATTAATTAAAAACTAATACATCTTTACAAACAACACTCGATAGGGTCTAGCTATTTTACTACCTTGGCTTGTTGGCTTAAATGGCTTACTTACGAAATTGCATGGGTTTTAACGAGCAAGCTATATGAAATATTTAATATTTACCTGACTTAATATGTCTAAAACAATGTTGTAATTCTATTTATCTCTATTAAATAGAATTATGTATTATTAAGCTATTTACATTAATTTGAATATAAGAATTACTTTATGTCCGGTGAAATACAGCGGCTTACTGAAGCCATAGGTTGGTTTACTAGGATTGAACTATAGTCACTCTTTTTTACCCTATTCGATCATGTTAAACTTTTGATTGCTTATGAAATAAACGGCGTAAATTTAAAACATTCTAGTGTTCATAGAAATTTGTTGCTGAGATCATACGTTGGCTGGCTGCTGTGCATACCGGGTCTCATACAACTGAATGAAAGCGGTTTTTTTTGTACATATAATGTTTTAAATGAATAAATATATTCATATCGCAATAACTTTTGTTAATAAAATTTTTGTTAATAATAGAAATTGTTTTTCGTCCGGTGAAATACAATGGCTTACTGAAGCAATAGGTTGGCTTACTAGGATTGAAACATAATCACTATTTTTTGCTTGCATATAGTACTATGAAATACTGTTTAGTAAATAATACCTACCATAGTAATATAGTAGATAGTAAACCATTGCCGTCTGAATAGTAAACTATTGCTGGTGCACCACTGGCCACCATATATAAATCTAAATATTAGTTTATTTAACTTAGGATTTATAGTTAGTATGATTAAAAAATTGAAAAAGTATTTTTTTAAAAACACTTGCCCATCTCTATTCTTCTTAATCTTTTCCCCTTGTTTAGATGTCACTTTAGTTCAAATTTGTGGTCATCAAAGTTCTTTTTTGCACATTGATCGTTTTATTTTATTAATTGAAATTAATTTATTTTTAATTTAACTTATTTTCGTGCAGTTTGTTCACTGGTATTAGATTGCATTTTTTTAGTTATAGGAAATGGTTTCGTTTCACCACATTATAAATTAAATTTACTTTTAGTTTTTTTGTTCAGGATAAATCAGCAATCAAATTAACGATTTTGGGTAGATATGTTTGGGCGTTTTTCAGAGATTACATCAAAATATTGTATCTTATTTTGATTAGTGAATAATTTATGGGTTGTCATCACGTCATTAATGCACATTTAAAAAAATGGTCATTACCTGTTTAATAGTGTAGGGCTCTCTAAAATTAAATAAAACAGACTAAAAAACTAAAGGCTAAGAAGGCAAGTTAAGCTAATTTTACTGTACTTTCATAATAACATTTTAATTACTATACTTTATTTTTCCAAAATAGCTTAAGACTGAATAGTTGCCAATGAATGTTTGGCTTTACTTTTCCCAAGTTAAATTTTTCTTATAAAATGAGAATGAGCTTTATTATTCACTAAAGGACTATTTATACTTTATAGTTAGATGAATTATGGATAAGGAAAATGTTATATTATTATAATTTTCATTATCAAAGTGAAAGCATAAGCAATTTTTTTTTTAATTTTGAGTTAAGTTCTTTGGCTTTGTTAACAGACAAAAATAATAGTATTTAATTTGAATTATTGTTCAATTAATGATTAATTATCAAATAATAAGATTAATTTGTTTATATCAGGATTGAATTTACAAACATAGAAAACTGATTATTGCTTTAAAGTAAAATGTAATTATTTGTGCAAGGTTTTATTTATTAAAATCCGACTCCAGTTTGATTGATGAACTGATTGATATATATATATATATATATATATATATATATATAATAAATAAATTTTTGCAACCAACAAGCCTCTCGTCACAAAACAGTAAAACAACTTAGTTGTGGGCAAGACTATTTTTAAAAGTTTCCAGAAATCATAATGATTCTAAATGTCAATGTTTTACTATCTCTATCTTCAAACTCTGCTGTGTCGTTAACCTGTAGAGCAAAAAAAGGTTGTTCTTTATGTGTTTCAATATTTTTTGTATTTGTTGTCTAGCTTGTTTCTGTATCAGTGTTATTTGTGTTTTTGTTTAGTTTATTTGTCACTTTTTACATGCACTTGTACTAATATTTGTTTTATGTTTTCATATCTAATATATTCCATTTTATTTTAAATATTAATTATATATTATTTTGTTATAAATTTCGAATGCCTTCATCAGTGGAGAAAGAAAAACAAAGTTTAGGATGAAATTAACAACTACACACACACACACACACACTTACTCACACACACACCACACACACACACACACACAACACTCATACATTAATAATGGTGACTTTTTTAATGAATTAATAACTTGATTTTGAATTTTCATGGTTTTTTAAAAATTGATTCATTAGTTTATTTGTTTTTAAATTTATTTATTTATTAGATGTAATTATTTAATTAATTAATAAATTTAATGAATTATTTAATTACTGTTTAATTTACTAATTTGTTTAATTTTATTTCAAATTCATTCAATTTAAACCAATTGAAAACCAAAGAAAAATTATATAGACCAATGTTTCAAAAAGATTCAGCAAGCTATGTTTAATAAACTAGTGTTGGTATGATTTCAATACAGACGTAAATGTCTGTATCATGTTATAAGTATCATATAATTATTATCATATCATAAGTATCATAATATAAGTATCATTTGTATGATCCATTCCGTTATGTTGGCCTTATCAGATTTTAGTTTAATGTTAGTTGATGATGATCAGATGAACAAGATAATGAAATGTGTCTACGACTTCCTGAATGAAATTTAAATTAGAATGTCTTAATACGTAACTCACGTTCACCCGTTTGTCGTGCAGGTTCACTAATGTTCTCTCTGAATAAGATGATGCAAACATGCAAGAGACATGTATCCACAACTAAGGATCTATCAGATCGCAAGAGGTTAAAACTTGACCCTAAAACTGAAACAAGTGAGTTGGGGATTTTTTGGTTGGTTGGTTAATTTTTTTTTATTTTGATTTATTGTTGCAGTTGAAATATGTTTTTTCAAGTAGTTATGTCACATCTCAATCATTTTCTTTTTCATCTTCAGTCATCCAATCACATACATCTATTCATTTACAACTATCCAATCACTTTCATCCATCCATCCACAACCATCCAATCACATTTATGTCTCCATCCTCGACCATTCAATCACATCATCTGCTAATTTACAACCACCCAATCACATTCACCTCCATCCACAACCATCCAATCATTTTCATCTATTCATTTGCAACCATCTAATTAAATTCATTTCTCTACCACAACCATCCAATCACATTCATCTCTCCATTCACAACCATCCAGTCACATTCATCTATCTGTCTACACTACATTCACAACCATTCAATCACAACCAACCAATCACATTCATCTCTCCATTCATAACCATCCAATCACAGCCATCCATTCACACTTAACCAATCACATTTCATCTACCCACCCATAACCATCCAATAACAGCCATCCATTCACACACAACCAAACATCAAATCCATCGTTATCCATCCATTCACTCACCTCTGTAGGTACATTTGACAGGCAGTGGGAGATCTTAAAGAATGTAGATGAATCGCCGAACGAATCCTCAACCTCCTGGTTCAAATTCTCCGTCGCCTCCTACAACGTTCTTTCACAAAACCTCCTAGAGACGAACAAGTACCTCTACAAGAAGTGTCACCCAAAACATCTTTCGTGGCAGTTTAGGAAGAACTTGTTAAAGGAGGAACTGTCATATTATCAGCCCGATGTTTGTTTGTTTTTTCCATTATATTTATTTTTTGTGATTTGCATATTTTGCTTGTTTTGCAATCAATATTGTTTTATTTCTCTTTATTTATTCTTTCTATATTTACTGTCATTGTTATTACATTGTTTTCTTGAAATTTACATATGAAATGTTTAGAGCATATACAATGTATGTTTTTTTCATTATTATCAATTGATTTGTTTGTTTTCTATTAATTTGCAGATAATTTGCATGCAAGAGGTCCATAAGAATGAATTCAGTCGTTTCTTCTTACCAGAACTTCAAAAATTAGGTGATGTTTATTAACAGTTTTATTCTTCATAAAAATCAAGCATGCAAATAAATGAATGATATGTTGCCAAATTTATACCTTGAATCGATTGATTCAATCAATCAATTAATCAATCAATCAATCAATCAATCAATCAATCAATCAATCAATCAATCAATCAATTGAAATACCTTATTTATACCTAATTCATTATATCATATCAATCCTTATCATCTCAATTATCACTAATCTATCATGATGATTTGTTATCACTTTCACTCATCATTTGAGATTTAGCAGGATAAAATGTTGAGATTGTATAACTAACTATGGAGTTTGTGTTTGTTTGCCATTGAGATTTGTCATCATATCACTCACTATGTATCTCATTCTCAATCTCGTTCATGTCAACTTCTATCAATTAAAGATCTGGTCTCGATCTTCTAGCAGATAATATCTACCAAAATAGCTAAAGTAATGTGATGTTGTAATGTGATGTTGGCTGGGTTGGCTTTAATAGTCTTCTTTCGTTCTTATTTCTTTCAATCCACAGCCAGAAATATGTTACATTTTCAGTTTAATTAATTAATTTTACATTTTAATTAATTAATTAATTATTATTATTATTTGTTATTTTATTATTATTTTACATTTATTCAGTATAGACTCATAGGTTTATTTAATTTATTGTTTTAAAATTGTCTTAGTTTTGTCTTCGCTTTTGTTTAATAATAATAATAATAATTAATAATTACTAATATTAATAATTACTAATATTAATAATACTAATAATTATAATTAATTAGTCAATTAATTAGATAAACAATTAAAATTTACTAGGATATTTTGGCCTGTACAAAAAGCGCACCAGTGACAAGGAAGATGGTTGTGCGACCTTCTTCAAGCATGACAAGTTCCTCTGCATGTCCTCCAAACCCATGGAGTTTCACTGCAAAGGAGTCGAGGTCCTCAATAGAGATAATGTCGGACTCCTCATGCTTTTGAAGCCGGTTGTCAACGGTAACTACACCAAAATCAGTAAGAAGGTGGTTACTCATGACGTCGATCAGCAGTTGCACAGTGGAGATGATGCTAAGTTGAGTGACGAGGCCAAGGTATGGTTTGCTAAGTGCATGTTATTCCTTTTTTGGGAGTGATTTCGTTTGTCTGGTTGAATGTTCATCTCTATAATTTTTTCTCTTCATATGTTCACTCGGTGCTTTCAAGTTGTCAGAATTTTATGTTTTATCAAATAGTCTTGAATAAATTAGTTTGTTTAGTTGATTAATTTTACCATTGCAAGTTGGTTGAATTAATTAATTGATTTATATAGCGGTGAATTTAGTTGCACGTACAACGGCACTTGAACCACAGGAAAAACTGAAAGACTTTCGACTGTGTGTGGCCAACACTCACCTGCTCTTCAACCCAAAACGAGGTGACGTCAAACTAGCGCAGTTGATGACGTTGATGGCGGGCATTGATGACCTGACGGATGGTGAGGAGCAGGCCGTGGTCCTGTGCGGCGACTTCAACTCGCAGCCAAGAAGTGGACTCTACGACTTCCTCCTCTCTGGCAGATTGGACTGCAAGGACGTCGCAATCAAATTTTTCTCCGGGCAGGTCAAACCGGGAATGGGTACTGGAGACAGTTTGGATGATTCGGGTCAGGGGTCGCGTATTTATTTCGGACAGCGCACCCTGCCACCGACGTTCCTGGAGAAAGTTTCAACTCTCACCGATCAATGTCAGTTTGTTGACGTCATCAAAAAACGACTTGAAAAAAAGCGCAATCTGGTGAGGGCGAGATCGGCGATGAACTCGAGACACGTGATTACTTCGAAGAGGAGCAAAATTCTCAGTTCTGAAGATTCCACCACGGATTGCAGGGAGGATATTGATGAGGAAAGTTCCAGCCTGACGGATTTTATATCTTGGTCGGAATCTCCAATCTCCTACACGCAAGGATCGGGAACGATCAGCCACAACTTACGGCTGAGGTCAACGTACGATCACGAAAATTACGTAGAGGATGATCCGGAAAAGAAGGAAATAACCTGCTACCTTGAAAAGAACTGCAGCACCGTCGACTACATCTTCTTCTCTCTTTCTAAAAAAATCCCCAACCGAAGTGGAAGCGAAACAGCTGAGAGTCCACAGGACATTGCCCCGGCACTTCACGAGCTACACCTGCTAAAGAGGTTGAAGTTGTGGACGGCAGCAGAGATGAAGGCCAGGTACTCGGGCATGCCAAATGCTGACCTGGGCTCCGACCACACCATCCTCATTGCTCAGTTCGGCGTCAAGTTGACTTGATAATATGGCGATGATTTTTTTTTTCTTTCTGTTTTTGTTTTGTTAAATAAAAAAAATGTCTCATTTTGTCTCGAATTTATTTGAAGTACGTTGTGACTGGTTTTGCTTTATAATGAAATTACTGAAAATATTGTGATTTTCATGACGGTGAATTCTTTAGTGTTTATTTTAACGTAGACCAGAGTAATTCTAAGTAATTTCAAGTGCAATTATATGAAATTTTTATTTAAAACTAAGCATTTTATACCTTTTATCTAATTTTTACCTTATAAAATTTGAAAAAAACCATTTTTATTATCATCATCATCGTTGTTATCATCTTCAACATCTTTTTTTTTCATCGTAATCATTATCGTCGTTACCGTCATCATCGCTATCGTCGTCATATCATCATTATCTGGTAGTTTTGTATCATCTTAGTGGTATCATCTTAGTGGTATCATCTTAGTGGTATCATCTTAGTGGTATCATCTTAGTGGTATCATCTTAGTGGTATCATCACCATCCATCATTATTTTCTCAACACTGGAATTACTTTAATGTCTGTTAGCAGTCAAATACGTCAGCATTATAATATATGATGTTAATGATGATCGTTCATTTGTTTGTTACTGACAATTGTTATGTTTTGAACTATTTTTATTCATGTTATTATTCATATTATTATTATTCATATTATTATTATTCATATTATTATTAATCGTAATATGGTTTTTATGGGCATGTATATACTATGTATGTAATTACTTATAAAGTGTTTTATTGTTAGAATGATTTTTTTAAAATTGTGTATATATATATTTTTAAAAATTGTAATATTGTTAATAATCATTGTAATTAGTAATAATAATTATAAATAAATAAATAATAATAATAATTATGGGAAAAATAATTGAAACATTTTTCAAGACTAAATTTGACTTTGTGCTTATTGCTCTTGAGTAAATTAAATCTGTAAGCGTTTGTTCTTCATTGAGTTGAAATTATACCCCAGGACGATGGTAATGACGTAAGAAAAAATGTTTATGGTGGCAAAATGGGGTTGTGGTTAATGTTTCTGACACTTCTGAAAATTAATGTCATCATTATTATCCCTTGGTGTGGTTTTAACTTTGAAATTCTCTTAATTAATTATAATTAATTAAAATAAGTTTATGACTAATTAAAATGAATCAATCAGTCAATCCTCGTTTATAGTCTCCATCCGTTTTGAATAGGGCATTAATTAAAATCAATAAATTAATTAATTAGTTCTTTAATTAGCTGGTTTGATTTGTGCGAATTGCCTATATATTCTAACGTTAAACTACTAAATCACTTCAGGACTATTATTGTAAACAAGGATTTGTTGATTTTTTTCAAATTGGTTTAATAGTTTATTATTTATAATAATAATATAATTTTAATAATGTTATACTCTGTCGGGTTACTTGCAAATTGTTTTACTGGATTATTACTTATATCTCTTTCTAGTTATATTCATATCAAAAGCTTCGAACTGATTGATTGATCGATTTAATGAATGATTGATTGAATGATTGATTAATCGATTGATTGATTGAATAATTAATTGATTGATTGACTAATTGATTGAATATTTGATTGATTGATCGATCGATTGAGTCCTCGATTGATTTATTGATTGATTTATTGATTGATTGGTTGACAATATTTTTACAGCAAGTTGACCTTTTGTTATAATTACATTACGACGATGATAATATTTTTAGTATTCCATGAAATGTTGCATTAAATCGTCCATACTTGTCTATAATGTTATTTATCAGTATTTAATAAAATCATTTGTAAATGTAAATAATTTGTCCTCGCGAAAGATAAAACACAGTTTGAAATAAAACTGGAAATAAAATGGTGATCGTGTCTCGTGTGTAAGGTTACATTTCATTTGTTTAAAGCAGGAGTGGGCAACTTATGGCTGGCCGGCCAGCGAGGCACTGTTCGCCAAAAGAAAGGTCGTCAGCCAAACATTATGACAAAAAAAAGAAGCCACAAATCTTATCTTGAAAAATCCTCCACCGGGTCGAAAAAATTTGCTCTTTAAGTACATATGCGGCCCTTTAAAGGTAAATTATTTCTCAATGCGGCCCTCACAGCCCAAAGTTTGCCCACCCCTAGCTTGAAGTGTCTTGAAAAAAATTTTTTTTTGTTTTATTAGCTGAAATTACCTTAAATATAATTAGTTTCGAGATGACAAAGGGCGCGAAAATATTTAAAGCACACGGGGGGTGTCTTGGTTTAAAAGGGTGCCTACCTAAAAGAGTGCTTACTTATTTCAAGTTTTAATTTTGGCGCGTTACTAGATTCGTTTTTACAAAAAAATTTTTTTAAAGAAAATCGTGAACTAAATTTTGGTTTTAATTTCTTATGTTTTCTGATGTAAATGAAAATTTTATTGAATTTTCAGTTGAATATTCTGAATTTTCAACATTTAGTAGAACATTTTTAGCACACAGAAGCCCGCATAGTGAAAACATTGAAAACCTTGTTCAATTTAAGCCGTTGTTGATGCTTTGTTGAAAGCTTTTCAGGCTTTTTGATGGATATTTTTTGTATAGGGATGCAAGTATTAGTGTGTGTGTGTGTGGTGTGTTGTATGGGTGTTAGTGTGTGTGAAAATGTGTGTGTGGTGA